AAAATGCAAACCTCTGACATGAGCGCCATCATTCTAAAATCACCGTCACTCATTAATTGGATAGTTTGACAATGTTTCTGAAAATAAAGGCAAAATGTGTTATTGTTAGTTTGGCAGTGTGATACATATTGTCAACGTCAAATCAATACATTAAAAATATATCCTTTGCTCTTTGCCCTAACAACGCTGCGCTTTCAGCGTTCGCGTAAGCGCGTTTACACCGATAATTTTCAATATATTGAAAGATCATTTTTTTAGGCATTCACAACAATATCATTAAGAGGCTCTTACTGCTGTACTTCGGTAAAAGGCAATAAAGGGAAGTCTGAGAAAATTCAGGATTTTTCCGAGCTAGATAAATATACTAAGTGACATATAAATCCGAACACCCAGTTTAAATGGTTTTATTTTAATAAAATTTTGTATAAGTACTTAATGAAGCATATAAGTAAATGATAAAAATTTCAAAACGATTGCACTGCTTTAAAGCCCTTTGACCTTTAATAATGTGTGGATGCACCCTGATGTGCTACGCATTCTCCAACGCGCCTAGGCATGCTTCTGATCAGGTGGTCAATGTCCTCCTGTGGTATCTCATTCCAGGCAACCACCAACTCCTTTCGAAGTGCTTCTAGAGTCTGAGGAGGACGTTGCAAATTGAGCAATCTCCTACTCATCATATCCCACATGTGCTCAATTGGGGATAAGTCGGGAGATCTTGGTGGCCATGGTAACCATGTGACATCATTATGTTGAAAGAAGTCTATTGTGACTCTTGCAACATGTGGTCGGGCATTATCTTGTTGGAAGTTGGATCTGCCAGGGTGTCAAGATAGGGTAAAAGATGGGATTCTAGAACTTCGTGGATATAACGCTGCGCGTTCATGTTACCTCTGATGAAGATTAAAGGTGACCTGGAACCATAAGCTATAGCACCCCAAACCATAACTCCAACAGTGTGATGAACATGTCTTTCAACAAAAAACTGTAGATTCCTCCTTTCACCACGTCGCCTTCTAACCCTGGCACGACCATCATGCATGCCTAAACAAAATCGAGACTCGTCACTAAAGACAATACTGTTCCATTCCTGATCCCAGAGTGACCGTTGTCTGCACCACTCAAGGCGATTACGTCGGTGTTCCCGAGTTAAGGGGAGGACCCAGTGTGCCCGGTATGAAAACAAGCCAAAATTTATCATTCGTCGGTAAACACTTCGCATGCCAATAGGTCTTCCGTGTTCTGCAAATCATTCATTTGCAATGGACCTGGTAGTGGAGAAACGGTCCCTTAAGGCCAATAATCTTAGGCGGCGATCTTCACGGTCTGTTGTTCTACGGCGGCGTCCAGTGCCCCTTGCTCTTTGCGTACGGCCTTCTCGAAGCCATGCCTGATAACACCTAACCACAGTGTCTATACTTCTTTGCACTCTAACTGCAATTGCCCGAAAAGAAAGCCCAGCTTCCCGAAGTCCCACTATACGGCCCCTATCAAACTCACTAAGTTGACGAAATCGTACAGGTCTTCGTACTCTAGGCATCGTAACCGATCGTAAAGGATGTCAAGAACCAAAATCCGCCAACGTTGATTCTTTACTGCGGCTGAAATATTCATTTTTAGAGCGTTAGTGAATTAAAAAAAAGCAGTATAAAAACCGGAACGTCCAACTGATAAGGCTGAAAATTTGTTCACTTGTTATTTACAGTAAGATAAGTACATTCACCAACTTTTATTAAAATAAAACCATTTAAACTGGGTGTTCGGATTTATATGTCACTTAGTATATTATTACAACAGAATAAAAGTGAATAAAGCTACATGACTTTATAGAGGGTCATTTGAAAGTCATGTCGGATGATAACTGTGTCGAGCTTAAAATAAATGAAACTCCGTATTTAACATGTTATCTACCGCTTTTACACTATCCAAAAACAAATTTACTGTATTTTTTGGTGGTTTTCAAAATATATTTATATTATTTTAAAGAAGAAAAACGAGTTTAACTTCGTTTTCATATGATTTATTCATATTATAGTCTGATAAAAACAAATTTGCTGCATTGTCAGGATCTAATCATACTATTATTTTTTTATGTACAATTTATTCAGATGGCAATTCACATAAATATCATAAAAGTAAGTCTTGGGAACATCTAATAATTATTTGATAATCATATAGGTACTTTAACAGAAATAGTTACCTAAACATAATGCCTTTGTTCGGCCCATCAAAAAGACAGCCAACCATGGACAGCTGTTTCGTGCTAATTGGCTACTCATCAGCATGCTTTTGGGGTCGTATCGTCAGTCGTTCCTACAATTGTAGGACGTCTTTATGGCCACCTTGATTTTCATAGTTTTCATATCAGCCTGATATTTTCTGTAATTCAAAAAGAAAACATTGCCTCACAAAAGGAGAGCGTTGACGGAACAGTAGAAATCTAGAAACACCCCAGCCTTTCTGAAGGAGACAAAAGACTATGAAAATCAAGGAGGCCATAAATAAAAATATCAAAATATCCTCTATAAATAATACACCGCAAAGCGACATCTGTCACACTAGAATCGACCACTGCGGAAAGCGTATAACTGCTATCAGTAGGAACTGTTAAGAATCTACATGTTTTATTCAACGGCAGTTAGACCACATCTACTTTACACCCGGAATCGTTAGCTATCTAGCGGTCACGTATAGTGACCGGGCTATTAGATGTGAGCTAACAAATCTAACTAATAATAACTCTGCGCTATCCGCAGTGTTCCTGTTTTCTTATACAGGGTGACTTCGAAGTTGAGTCATTTATTTTAACAGTGAGTAGACCTGATCAAAAGAAATGTTTTTTCCTTTAACATTTTTCTGGTAAAATTAAAGTAACAAAGTTATAGCCCTTTAGAAGTTTGAGTACCGCCCTGTCTCAATAATAATATTATGTACTCGTGTTTGGCGACAACGGATATAATCCGCCTTATCGGTTCATCGCATCGGAAACAAAAAAGCGAAAGAATTTGAAACGCTTATCACGATGTTTTTACTACAATTTTATTCAGTTGTATTCAGTCAATGTGTCAGTCGGTAACGCGTGAGTGAATAGTGGTGTTTGTTACGTGGCTCAAACGAAATAAAAAATGGCACATGTTTACGAAAATGCTGAACTTGTGGACATGATTCTTATTTACGGGGGGGGGGGGCGCCTTTACAAGATGCTGCCGCGGCATCACGGATTAATGCGGATCGATTTCCCAATCGAGTGAAACCGACCCCTCGTGCCTTTGTTAATGTAGTACAAAGGGCTCGTGAATCAGGTGACTTAAGACCTCACAGGGGAGGGCATGCCGGTGCTCCAAGACCGCACGATCAAATACAGGTCCGCATTGAAATACTTGTCGGAAGGATACTTTATAAAACAAGGTAACATTTTTCATTATCTGAAAATTAATGACTCAACTTTATTCTCAATTTTATTTTGAGACAAAAGTATTTATTTGTAATGATAAACACTTAGTCACTAAAAGATAAATAGTGACAATAACTTGACATCTTTATAAGTTCAATTTTATCCTATTTGGAACGTGCACATCCCCACTATCCAACCGCCAACCAACCCCTGACGCGTGGCGATGAAGCTTCGGCTGACGGTTCTGGCTGCCCTGCCAAATAATTAAATCTATTACTCACGGATATGGGCGGACATTCGTTCTGCTGACAACTTATTTATTTCCCGTCTGGCTTTTAAGGAGAAAAACGATTCGGTGCGGACGATTTTTAACGGTGGCATTTTTCATTGGCGCAGCAGCCAATGACGAAGCGCGCCTCGTGACGCGCGTGTTGCCTCGAGCGACGGCAATCTGTTTGGCTGTCTAGTCTGGAGATGCAACATTGTGACTGATGGTTGCATGGGTGCTTTTTGTCATAAGAATGCTCTCAAGGCACCGGAGCTGGCGCAAACCTTTTCAGCTACGATCTATGCTTTCCTTGAGAACCACTTGTTTGTAATAAATAAATAGATAAATAGTGATTATTGCCCAGTGGAAGGAAGGCCAATCCTAAGAAAAGTTTGATCAAACTAACAAAACTTGAAAACATACAAAAAGCAGGTGGTTCTATCTAAAGGAAAAAAAGCAAACAAAAAAAAGAACCAAGGAACATTTCATAAACTGTTTAAGTAATTCCTAGCTACTCCCAGAGTGCTGTTCAAACTGTCAGCATGTATATTACAATGACTAGATATGGCGACAAAAGTTCCACAGATTATATAGGGTAATTCTAGGACAGATGGCCCATCAGGTGAGTTGGCTCACCGTCAATATCTCCACAAATGTATGAAAGACCGATACTTTGGCAACACCGGCAGCTATTTAGTATTGCGTCATATGCTGTGTGAGCCGCAGTTAGTAATTGAACATTTTATTACAGTAGAATTACAATAGAAGTGGTGGTTATATGTACGATTTTTTTTTTGACAAAGTATTAAAATTGCGTGAGAGGTACGTATTGTTATTTTCTGCAAACAATTACAAATTCATCGGGTAGTATAAGGCCTGGCGGCATTCCTAACCTAAAATTAAATTGTTATTCGCATGTATAACTTAACGCCGAAGTGAGCCATCTATCCTTGTAACATTAGGTGAGTTGGCTCACTGCTAAGAGAGGAGAGATGGCTCAATTACTTAACATGATTTTAATAATTATGAACTATTTTGCAGTTAAAATGCCTACCGAATATAAACGCAAAGGTAGTGTTTGTCGAGGGGAATGGTCAGAACAAGATTTACAGCAAGCTATAGAGGCTGTACAAAAAGGTAGAGTAGGTGTTCGAGAAGCCGTTCGTTCCTTTGGTGTGTCATACACAACACTTCGACGACGCTTGAGAAGTGGCAATCAGAAAGCTTCCGTTGGGACCATTATCTACTTTAGGACAAGAAAACGAAGTTAAATTGGTCAATCAATTTAAAAAACTTCAAAAGTTTGGATTTTCGCCATCACGAACAACTGTACGCTCTATGGCATTTGAATTAGCCCAGAAATTAAATCTCCCACATAAATTCAATATTGAAAGACGTATGGAAGGATATCCATGGCTCGAGTCATTTTTAAGGCGCAATAAGGATCTAGCAGTGAGAAAATCCGAAGGTATGTCAGCTGCTCGTTGTTTAAATATGAATAGAGATGTTGTGGCATCTTATTTTAACCTATTGGAAAACACTCTGATAGAATATAATTTAATTAACAAACCAGCAAGAATCTACAATGTAGATGAGACAGGACTACAAATGAACAACAAACCAGGCTTTGTTATTGCTCAGAGAGGTTCAAAAAACGTATCGGCAGTGACATCAGCAGAAAAAGGCAAAACAATCTCCGTAATAACATCTTGCAATGCGGAGGGGTCATTTATACCACCAACGTGCATCTTTAAGGGTAAGAATCAGAAACCAGAGTTTGCCGATGGTATGCCACCAGGCTTCTTAGTATTCATGTCTGAGAAATCAGCTTATGTCAATAATGTTTTATTTTTGAGGTGGCTTAAAGAACAGTTTGTCCCAAGGAAACCTCCGGGATATGTTATGTTAATCCTCGATGGACACTCATCGCATTGCAGCAGCGTAGAGACACTAGAATATGCTTCTGAAAATGAAATAATTTTTGTGTGTCTACCTAGTCACACAACTCAATTTCTACAGTCTCTAGACAGAGGAGTTTTTAAGTCACTAAAGGCGTTTTATTATGAAGAATGTAATGCTTTCATTAGAAGAAATCCCAATCGACGCAGATTGATTTTTGGACAATTACTCGCTGCAGCTTGGGAGAAATCAGCAACTTTTAAAAATGCGGTTTCATCTTTCAGAGCTACAGGAATTGTGCCTTTCAATCCGTCTGCGATTCCAGATTACGCTTATCTTACTGACAAACCTCAGGGAGCTTCACCTAATGAACCAGAATCTCAAGTTTTACCGAATGGTGAAATATCTGTTGACAATAGAAATGAATCTGCTCAGGATTCATTTATTATTGAAATATTGGAATCGGTAGTGAATGATTCAGCTGGACCATCTGATATGAAGACACCTGAGAAAGAAATAGATACCCCTGGAAAAATACTGGACAAAATTAACCCGATTCCTATCAGTGAAGCAGTCTCTTCTGCGAGGAAGAGAGGTGGACAGTTGGCTTCTGTCTTGACTAGCAGCGATAATATTAGAAATAAGAAAAAGAAACTAGAAGAAAAATTACAAGCTGAGGCGAAGAAACGGAAAAAGGAAGAAAACAAGAAATGCATTAAACCAGGCCCTAGCCGCGTTCAAAGTAAGTCTAAAAAAACGGAAGCAATCTACATCTTCTTCTTCTGAAGAAGAAATAATATATGATGATTCCTCGGAATACGAAGATGAAACAAGTAAATGCGGTGGATGCGGAGATTTTTATTCCACCACCACAAAAATGGATGACTGGATTCAGTGTGTGACGTGTTCCAGATGGGTACATGAAGGGTGCACCAGATTTGACAATTTTTGTGATGCATGTGGAAAGTCGCAGCAATAATGAACTACTAAATTTACTAGTTTTTGAATCGAGCCATCTCACCGAATACTATGGGCCAACTCACCCATATATTAAAGAAGAGTCTGATATTTTATTTTTTTCGTTTCTTTGAGAATAAAATTTAAGTTTGATTATTTTTTCTGTTGTAATAATATTCTTCATATACGCCTGGTTTAACCTAAGTTATTAAATGATTTTTCTGGGGTATAATAAAGATGTTATGTTGATTTGTAAAAAGGTGGGCCATCTGTCCTAGAATTACCCTATAAGGGTGCTTTCAAAAATAAATGTGTGCGAGACCTGTCACAGTAAAAGGTTTTAACGGTATGGGTATGAATAGGTGAGACATTAATTTAGAGAGCCACAATGTCATTAGCCTCAATTTGATTGTGCACCAGTTTATGCAAGAAAATAATTGATGCACCATTCCTCCTCAGCTCTGTAGACTGGATTTGAAACTTAGACAATAACAAACGTATATGTACCTGCTCAGGATAAGCACCGTCAACTTTGAAAGACAAAAATCTGAAAAACTTTCTCTGTACACGTTCAAGAGAAGTTATAAATTGGGTTTCAAATCATCGATCACTACAAAATCGCACGCCCGAGAAGCTTCACTCACTTTTTGAGCTATTTGGAGTGAAATATTGAGTTGGTGGTGAAAAATTATATGAATGTATTATGTAAGTATCCCCAATCTTATGCCAGAAGTATCTTATTTGGCCAAATCTAAAAACTCGTGTAACATCTGAAAGTTATCCTGTGGTTTGGTTACTTTAGTTTTTTAATGAACCCGACACGTCACACTCGTCCATCGTCCCAAACACGCCAAAAACCTCCGGAAACGCGAAAACACCATAAAAAGTTGGGGAAACCCACTGGTTAATATCTCGCATTTCAAATCCATAAACAATACTCATGCAGCATTTCAGTCGAATACTGCATAACCATTGAATGGTGTGTTACGACAACAATTGTGGGTGGGTTTTCGCGTTTTCGGAGGATTCTTGGCGTTTTCGGGATGATTGACGAGGGTGACGTGTTTGGAGCATTAAAAAAGACAGACAATCTCATGCTCGCTTGTCGCTTTGGGGAGCTGGACGTCCTTTTGGGCACGGGAATACTACCTATCAGGCTTTCTGGGCTTGGCTGGTTTTGCGCGGTGCCAAATTGCAATGATGGTTTCGCTCAATCTCAGCATCTTTCAGGACTGTATAGACTATTCTGGTAACACACTGCAAACAAAAGAAGTGTTACGTGGAAGATAAACAAAATATATTGTCAAAAGTGTCAATTGTTCTTGAACAAGGTCAAACTTGGAACTGAAACGTCGTCGTCATACAATTAAGACGAATTTTAAACATGTATGCGATTTGACTCGGCCAGGAGTATCTGGGGAGATTATAAAAATACGTGGTTCAAATAGAATACCACAAAGGAGGAGGCGATATTGCATGATTACTATAAGTTGAAGAATAAATCCAATATAAACGTCACATCACCAGTCTTTTGTTGAAGGGTATATCTCGAAGTTTTGATGTTGGTATATTTATACGTCTCCAGAAATTCTACGCACATATTGGCATATTTCACCCATCATAGATGTACCCGTACATTTATTTACCTTCAAAACTTACGAGCCGTGCCTCAGTGAAGTTGGCCCAGAGCCCCAAAAATATGATATTTGTGCATTTATTTGAGGAATAATTGAAATTTTATTTCAAAGAACACAAATTATTGTCTCCGACTCCATTATTTGGAGTGATGAAGCCAGATTTGAAGCATAGGCTGGAGTCGTGTCATAAGAACTAAAGAGTGACTGTCTTAAAAAAAGTTAAGCTCCGGCTTCTGTTATGATCTGGGGATCCATGTCAGCAAGTGGACTGGGCAACTTGTACTTTCTGGAAAGTATTATGAATGCTGATAAGTACACTAATGTGCTTCAAAATAACTTAGTACCCCAAATTGAGCAAATGCGCTTAAACAATATTGAATATATCTTCCAACAAGAGGTTGCCGCTTGCCATACGCTTAAAAAAAGTAAAATATTGGATGTTAGAAATCAATATCGCAGTTTTAAAATGGACGACGAGTAGTCCAGATCTATCGCCGATTGAAACCTTGTGGCATATCATGAAGAAAAAGATGATGACTGCCAAACATTAGTTGACACCAAGTCAAGACGTATCGAAACAGTAATCAGAAAATATTTTTTATTTAATGACAAAGAAATGTAGTATTTTAGGGTAATATTAAATAAAAATATCGTAAGCTATCAGAAATACATTTTTAATATATATATTTTCTAATATGAGAAATTTCATGTAAAACGAAGTTTTGATAGTTGGACCAACTGTCTGGCCTGTGTAACACTGTGCATGAAGAAAGCAATATCGTCATCGCAGCAATCATGTGCGCCTTTAGCAATTTCTCTCAAGGGGAGGAGGAGGCTCATTTGAGTTTTTAATGATGCCATTTTTCTAAAGAAATTTCCATGCTCCTGCAAGCTTAGGACCGTAGGTCTATTTGAGGGACTGCTCTCGCTCCTGAGTTCATACTCGATGGACAGAAGGTTGTTTGTTTAATATGGTGGTTATAGGTCGAGTTATTATTAGGCCTCATCTGGAGTGCCTCAAGGATCGAATCTAGGCCCATTATTGTTCCTGATCTTTATTAACGATTTGTCTCTTAATCTCAAGTGTTTGCATCTGTTTTTTGCTGATGACGATAAGATTTAGGCATCGGTCGAGTCAAGTGATGATTGTCTTATGCTGCAGGATAATTTAGACTTAATTTCTCCATGGTGCTCGCGAATCTGTCTTAGTTTGAATGTTTCTGAATGTAAAGTTGTGTCTTATACAAGAAAGACTAATTATTTAATATATGATGATTATAACGTCAACGGTCAGGTTCTAGACAGATGCTACTCTTTTAAGGACCTTGGAGTAACCTTTGATAGCAGGCTAATGTTTAGCGAATATATACTTGATATCTCATCAGCTGCCACCAGACTGCTTGGGTTCTGTATCAGGAACTGGAAGAGGTTCTCCAATGTCAGTACTTTTGTCAGAAGCAAGTTGGAATATGCAACCCTGATCTGGTCTCCAATATATCCAAATTCAGTTTCAATTATTGAAGGCACTCAACGTAAGGCTATTAAGTATTTTTAACTTAAATATACTGCTTCTTATACAGAAAGAGGTTTTTGTCATCATACCCTTTTGAATTTTTTCGACTTAGATTCACTATCAATTAGACGTAATATGTTCGCCTTATCATTTTTAGATGGCCTTATGCACAATCAAATTGACTGTCCGGATTTACTTGAAAAAATATACTTCCGCATTCCAAGGCTTGAAAGTCGTCAACAATCAGCCTTTTACTGTCAAGCAGGCCGGACGAACGTAATGTTGAAATCTCCAATTTATGTAATGTGCAGTCTGATGAACTCTATTTGTGATCTGTGCGATATTTATAATGACAGCTGTATATCAATCATAAATTGCTATAAGTCATCGATTGTTCTCTGAGCTTACTTAGACCAATTGATGCTAGGTTTAAGTTTTCAATGTGTCCCTTTATTTTCTTTTTGTTAATGTGTTTGAGCTTTTCATGTAATTGGGTTTTACATGTAGGAAATATGAAATATAAATAAATCAATACATTTTCAGCACCGACCATTTATTGGTACCAAAACTCTGGAGTTTTTCGGATATTACTGCCAGATTTTTTCTTTGAAATAAGTGTGCTACTATCTTATGGACTAAACCCTACAAGCACGTTCAACGTCAGCGATTTCAAACCAACGTCACTTTTTTGTTTGACATACTGGATGATTGATCTTAATGCGATCCTCGCAAATGGGACGATTCTTTCAACGTCACGCTACTTGAATGATGGATTTTTCTTTACGGGATCGCTCGCAACTCACGCGCTTCTATATTTGGCTTGAAGCAGTCTTTATCATGCAAACGGCGATACGCAGTTTACAGGGAGCGACAGCGCCTAAATCAGTGACATCATCAATTGTAACCGTAAGTTTCAGGTTAGTAAACAATATTAGTTCCCTGAACTTGTTTATAACGAGAAGAAGCAGAGTGTAAGGAACTCTTATCTCCTCTTCGTTTTATTTTCTTCTCGGACTAACTTTATTGAGTTGATAAGGGAGTTATTACAACCTCTGGTAAGGCAATACAAGGCGCCCTCTATTACCAGAGCCGAGCACTGGTAGAGTCAGTAGCAGCTGTAAAAATCTGTAAGAAAGAACTGTAAAAATATCAGGTCGACTTTAATTGCCAGGTCACTACTATGACTGCTAGATGGTGTTCATTCTGGCGGTATAATACATGTGATCTAGTGACCATTGAACACCTAAAAATACTGCTTCCTTTCATCCGACCGCAGACAAAAACCGTTGACAACTGCATAAAGTCAAATACACAAATTATGGTACCACCCTCGTATATTCAGTAAACATCTTATTGTTCCTGTATATTCCCGGTATTTACTTTCCTTATGAGTTCTTGTTAATTATGATGACAATGATAACTGTGTATAATTTCTTATATTCCTTCAAGATACCGATGTATTATAAATACGCATATTTTTAGATATAAGATTAGTCTATACCTTGCTCTATAACTTTGAACATCGCAATAAATAATGTTTGAAGTGGTTCGTCGCCTATTTTATTTAATTCATATAGTAATAATGTTTATTGGATTAGTTACATAATAGAATAAACATTCGACTAGATGCAATAGAAAATAATAATACTTCAAAGGACTAGAGATTGGCAAACCCATTTTTCATCCTAGCCTGTGGAGCTAATGTAGATACAATCCAAATTTACAAAACGTGAGAAAATCATATGCACCATATACGAACCCCTTCCCACTTCAGTTGGCCCAACTATTGAAATCTTAGTTTTTTTCTTATCAAACACAAATAATACAAATGTAGCAATGTAACAATGAATATTTCGATAATATATAGTAGAAAACACCAACTTTATCACTCCCTAATCAAATTTGCAGCATAAAAATAACACATGTTGCAATTACAGCATATCAACCTATTTTCATTTCAATGCAAAATAAGTCTATAACGCATAGGTGGCTGTGAAAAATAAAAGCCATGACAATTGTATTTATTAATCACAACTGTCAGAATACGTTTAAAATAGTTTGGGGTAGTTAAGGTTTTCAAAATGGGTAGAGGAAAGGTTATTAGTGAGAAAATTCGGTTTCTGATAATTAATTTTTTCAATTCTGGGAGATCAAAGAAATTGCAACTTTGTTAAACTTATCGCGGTACAGTGTGAGATTTATTGTTAGAAGATATAACGTATGCGGTTCAGTTAATATTAATCCACGATATGTGAAAAAAGTAATATCAATCACAAATGTCGACCGAATAGCATTAAGAAGAATAATCGTGAAAAACAGGCGTGCCAATTATGGACTGATGAGGCCCGATTCGAAGTTTGTGTTGGTGACAGTCGCAGTAGAGTTATTCGCAAAAAAAATGAAGCATTCCATGTTGACTGTCTGAAGAGAAAAGTGAAATTTCCAGCATCCATTATGGTCTGGGGCAGTATGTCATCAAAAGGAGTAGGAAAACTTCATTTTATTGATGGAAATGTGGATACAAACAATTATTTGGCAATTTTAGAAGAATCGCTTTTACCAGTGATGGAAGAATGTTTGACATCCGGCCAAGAATTTGTGTTTCAGCAAGATGGTGCAGTGTGCCATACCTCAAAAAGGCTATAAAATGGATGGAAGGGAATAATGTACTACTTTTGAAATGAGTTTCTAGCAGTCCAGATCTGTCACCTATTGAAACTTTGTGGCACGAGATGCAAAAAGGTTCTACGACAACATCCTGCTCGTACAATCACCGAACTGAGACAAAAGCCTCAAGAAATATGGGATTGTTTTACACCAAATTTTTGCCACTATTCCATAAAGAATTTCAGCCGTAATAAAAAATAAAGGTAATGTTACCCAATGGTAATGTTTCAAATGTTGCTTTGTTAACTTCGCGCATTTATTTGCACATTGTTTATTTGTTCAGTTGTTCTATTAGTTATAGGTCTAAGTGATTTCAAATATGCATTTTTCCGACTAGAGTGTATCTAAGATGTTTTTGAGAATATAAGTAGTTTTAGAAGTAAATAGTTTCGCCATGTTTAGTTTATAAAGGCATATTTTGGTACGAATGTTAAAGTGGGCCAATTGAAGTGTGAACGGGCTCGTACATGAACTTATAGCTATATAACTGCAATATAAATTTCAAAGGATAATAATACTGCAGTCCTTAGTTAGAACGTCCTAACTACATTTTTTACATTGTTGGCCTATATGCTTATACAGTTATTCTATGCATTATTCATCTATTCTCCCAAGTTACAGCGTCCTAACTCCACTGTGTCCCTATCATAATTACCTGAATATGTTGTCCTGTGTCCACATATTACGAGCTTGCAAACACAGAACGTCGCTTTGTCTATAAATTACAAATTTTAGTGAACAAATTGTAACTGTATCAGCTCTTTTAAAATTGTTTTTTGAAACACTTAGTATAGCAGGTGCAGTAATAGAAATATTTTTTAAATTTTGATGTAGAAAGAGTTGGAATAACTGACAATCTTTTCTCTAAAACATTAGGAGCAATGAACGATACTTGAGCTTCAAAATGATTTCGCTTAAATAAGAGCCAGTAATGTGATCCTGTCTGTGGATCTAAGTGAAACAAACCCTCATGCAACAGTTTTGCAGAACTTGAATTCGTTGTTTTATTTCTTCTCATCTATACATTAGTTGCCTTTCTTCAGCTATTGTTGTCAAATAGTTCTTTTTCGAGAAAATTGGTTAGAATACATTTCTTGAAAAACGAAGCCCTTCTGAATTAAAAATTGCATTAAGTATAATGTATTGGTACTAACCGCTTACCTCTGAATTATCTATGAAGTATTGATTTTAGGCCATTTAAAGTGAAGCATTTGTTTATAAAACAAAAATACATTAAAACCTATTTTTTGTTGTTAATTTGATCCAAGGTGATTTTTTGTAATTACTTTTCAAAAATGATATTTGGCAAATTTCCACCTCCGGTCTTGATAACCAAATGTGCCCTTTTTCGGAGTTTTCCATCACATTGGCCGATGTTTCGGCGGATATGGCGGCAATTTCTTGACGAATATGGTTTTTAAGGGCAGCGTATAGCTTGGATTTCAAATAGCCCCAGAAATAAAAGCCTGGTGCCGTCAAATCAGGTGATCTCGGTGGCCAGTCAAAATCGCCATTTTTCGATATCAGTCGTCCAGGGAACAATTGTTACAATAAATTGATTGTTGCTTGAGCTGTGTGGCGTGTGACGCAGTCCTGCTGGAACCAGTACTCGTGCATGTCATTTTCACAAATTATTAGCCACAAAAAATTCGTTATCATATGGGTCGATAACGCTCACCATTGAAGGTTACCGCAGCTCCATCACCGTCTTCAAAAAAATACGGCCCTATGACCATATTCGCCCACATACCGCACCAAACAGTAACTTTTTGGTCATAAAGAGGCTGCTGTTCGATTAATTGAGGGTTATCGGTAGCATAAAACCGACAATTTTGTTTACTTACGCCACCATCTTCATTTTCGGCCATTTCAATGCTCCATTTAGCAAAATCAAAGTGACACGGATAATCAGCTACGTTTAATTGACGAGCCATTTGAATTTTGTATGGAAAAATCTTCATATTCTTACGAATTATGCATCGAAAGTGGTTCAAGCGATGCCTAACTCTTGAGAACGCTGACGACCGGATGTTGATGGAGTCTCTTCAACACTGGCTCGTACGGCTTCGATATTTTCATCGGAACGTCTTGTTCGTCGGGATAGTGACTGACATTACGAGGACTACTGGCGTTCACAAATTTTGCGTATAAATGTCTGATAGTGTTATCAGCTGGAGCACTTTTAACTATATTTGTTTTGGGAAACGCACATATAGTTTTTACGTTCGAGAAGTTATTTTGAATGTACAACTGAATAAGCGCGTTGTTTTGGCGTGTACTGTTCCGTTCCATGGTTAAAAGTGTACTGAAATACGTTTCCAACACGGTATGACATCAGTCGATCTGTCAACTAATGTCAAAGTTATAGGGTTGCTTGATGCTTCAACTTCAAATGGCTCACCTTGTATTTTCATGCTATTTTTGAATGTACTTGCTGCTATTAGAAATATCGCTGCTATTTTTTGAATCGCCCTGTATATTCTCCAAGTATCTGCTTTTTAGGTTAAACATTTACATTATAATGTGTCATCTGTTATTTATGTTTCATAAGCAACGTATAACCGCATATGATTCTCCCTGTAACACTATCGATACTGATAGAATCAATCACGTTGGAGAAATCTCCACCGTCCAGTATAAAGTGCATCACCGGTCGCATGCAGCAGCTGGCGGCCATTTTGAATCGCCGTTGATTGATTGTCCGCCAGCACGAACACATGTTCCCATGTTCTTATAAAGCCATGAAACCTAAGAGCCGCTTCCTTGCTCAGCACGCTGTGCACCTTGACCAATCAGATGGAGAAATTAAATTGGGGCCTTTTCTGGACCTCGTATGGCAAGACCGGTACAATTGCCCGTGAATGGAAGTTAAAGTATCACTAGATTCCCTGTTAAGTGTGCTGTGCACATCTCGTCGTCGTCAGTGCTTTGTTGTTTCGGTACGTGATTTTCTTTCGTAAGTACACTGCCTCGCAGAAGTTAGGAACGGTGTTAACAAGTTTATTAAGGGGGTGGTCAAATGTATACATTTTAAGCGAATTAAATAATGCTTTCTGCAAAAAATATTTTATCATTCGTAAAATACTGGTCGGATTTTTATGAAATCTTGGTATAAGGTTACGACAATGCTTCGTAATTTTTGAAAATCGATCCACTACCAGCGGAGCTATAAGTGAAAAAAATGAGAAACAAGAATCATCCAAACTTCGGTTTTTGAAGTTTTAGAGGCTCCTGATCATATTCAGAAAGGGCTTTAAGACTTGGTGGGAGGGTGTACTGGGCCAATTTTTTTGGAGTTTATAGACACATATTTTCAACACACGTGTCTCTAGATGGGCACCCGATGATTGGCTGGCGAATAGGGCAGAAGAGAAATTTCTAGATCGTGATACTGAAATGGATGGTGACTGTGGACCACGAGTCACTTTGATTGACTCTTTCCACTTATTTTTTTGTTATACATGCAGGAAGCTTAAATTATACTAAGTGACATATAAATCCGAACACCCAGTTTAAATGGTTTTATTTTAATAAAATTTTGTATAAGTACTTAATTAAGCATAATAAGTAAATGATAAAAATTTCAAAATGATTGCACTGCTTTAAAGCCCTTTGACCTTTAATAATGTGTGGATGCACCCTGATGTACTACGCATTCTCCAACGCGCCTAGGCATGCTTCTGATCAGGTGGTCAATGTCCTCCTGTGGTATCTCATTCCAGGCAACCACCAACTCCTTTCGAAGTGCTTCTAGAGTCTGAGGAGGACGTTGCAAATTGAGCGATCTCCTACCTAACATATCCCACACGTGCTTAATTGGGAATAAGTCGGGAGATCTTGGTGGCCATGGTAACAATGTGACATCATTATGTTGAAAGAAGTCTATTGTGACTCTTGCAACATGTGGTCGGGCATTATCTTGTTGGAAAGTTGGATCTGCCAGGGTGTCAAGATAGGGTAAAAGATGGGGTTCCAGAACTTCGTGGATATAACGCTGCGCGTTCATGTTACCACTGATGAAGATTAAAGGTGACCTAGAACCATAAGCTATAGCACCCCAAACCATAACTCCAACAGTGTGATGAACATGTCTTTCAACAAAAAACTGTGGATTCCTCCTTTCACCACGTCGCCTTCTAACCCTGGCACGACCATCGTGCATGACTAAACAAAATCGAGACTCGTCACTAAAGACAATACTGTTCCATTCCTGATCCCAGAGTGACCGTTGTCTGCACCACCCAAGGCGATTACGTCGGTGTTCTCGAGTTAAAGGGAGGACCCAGTGTGGCCGGTATGAAAACAAGCCAAAACTTCTCATTCGTCGGTAAACACTTCGCATGCCAATAGGTCTTCCGTGTTCTGCAAACCATTCATTTGCAATGGACCTGGTAGTGGAGAAACGGTCCCTTAAGGCCAATAATCTTAGGCGGCGATCTTCACGGTCTGTTGTTCTACGGCGGCGTCCAGTGCCCCTTGTTCTTTGCGTACGGCCTTCTCGAAGCCATGCCTGACAACACCTAACCACAGTGTCTACACTTCTTTGCACTCTAACTGCAATTGCCCGAAAAGAAAGGCCAGCTTCCCGAAGTCCCACTATACGGCCCCTATCAAACTCACTAAGTTGACGAAATCGTACAGGTCTTCGTACTCTAGGCATCGTAACCGATCGTAAAGAATGTCAAGAACCAAAATCCGCCAACGTTGATTCTTTACTGCGGCTGAAATATTCATTTTTAGAGCGTTAGTGAATTAAAAAAAAAGCAGTGTAAAAACCGGAATGTCCAACTGATACGTCTGAAAATTTTTTCACTTGTTATTTACAGTAAGATAAATACATTCACCAACTTTTATCAAAATAAAACCATTTAAACTGGGTGTTCGGATTTATATGTCACTTAGTATAGTTTCAGGGGAGATAACTTGTGCCGACTTTCTGAATTGATGACACTGTTGTTTTGGAAGTGCAGTATAACGCCATTTGTTATGGATTGTTAAGATTGTCGCCCAGTGACCTGGGCTTGTAGCTGGTGGAAACAGTTTTATACCATTTTATAAAAAAGTTGCTTACTACTAACGAAATTACACACAAAAAAGAGTGATCTTGGTTCAAGAACAAGTATCTTCAATTGAGGATCGTGACTTTGATATGTTTCTAAGACATATATCTTTGAATTAAGGTCAATCTCTCAATTGTAAGTGTTACGTTTCTTTAAAACAACGAACTTATCTCATTTGAAGTATCTGTGATCTCTAGTCAATATCATAATTTCTTAGAAACTCATGAATCAATTCTCGGTTTTGAAGCTACTCGTATCCCATTCTTATCTATCCGACAGAAAGTAGTTTGCCATGGTAGATGGGGCTACATTTGACTTGAAAGACATTTTTGGGGTACCCCAGGGTTCAAACTTGGGGCCTTGTGTCTTCATGATATATCAGAATGCCTTATTCCATGATATTATTATTATTATGATAATTGAGATGAGCAGAGTACACAGTACTATAAACTCATGCAGTAAATATAGTGTACGGACACGTAACACAAATACATCAAATAGAAAAAAATAAAAAAAGACAGTTCATAGCTATAAAGTTTGTACACTCCTCCAGCTATCATACTGCACTTTGAAGCTATTAACTGAAGTAGCACCAACCACACTTTCAGGTAAACTATTCCAGGTGTTGAATATGCGGTTGGGAAGAAACCACTGTCGGACTGTTGTTTTAAATGGCTTCTTATGCAGTTTGAAGCTGTGTCCACGTAGATTGCTGCGCGACAGACGGTTTAGATGCATGAGGTTGGTGCCCATCAAACCATGAAGTATCCTGAACGTAACTATAAGATCGCCACGAAGTCTTCGCTCAGAGAATGAGGTCAGGTTGAATAATTCAAGGCGATCTTCATAGCTTGGTCTTCGTGCTCCAAAAGGGATACGAGTAGCCCGGCGGTGTACTGATTCGACGAGATTTCCATCGCGCAGAAGCACAGTGTCCCATACCGGGCCAGCGAATTCAAGAATTGGCCTCACGAATGCCTTGTAAATGTAGGCGCAAGTGTTGACATCGGATCCTTTGAAATACCTCTCCAGCATGTATAGAAGTTTCTTGGCTTTTGATGTAACGTGGTGAATATGCTCTGACCAGGAAAGACGATCGTTGACTAGAACGCCCAGATCAGTGTGGCTGGAAACTGCTTCGATGTTGTGGTCAGTGATCTTGTATGTAAATCGCGGATTTGTCTTCCCGAGGTGAAGGACACAACACTTAGTTAGATTTAAGGGTAAAAGCCAACTGACTGACCATTGACAAACAATATCAAGATCTCGTTGATGCATAGCAAAATTTACGACAGTATTGTAAATCTTGGTGTCGTCGGCATAAGCTGAACATGTGGAGGAAATCAATGCGGGCAGGTCACTTGTATACAGAAGGAACAGCACTGCCCCCAAGACAGAGCCTTGAGGAACTCCACTTGCTACATGATGAAGGTGAGACTGGCTATCACTGACGCGCACAGAGAAAGTCCTCCCGGTGAGAAAAGCCTTAATCCATAGTAACAACTCGCCTCCTAGTCGCATACATTCCAACTTAAACAGAAGCCTTCTATGTGGTACGCGATCGAAAGCTTAGTCCTATGGCCCATCACTAATATGTGTAGACCATACGCTAGCTCTGCTCGAAAAAACAACTACTAGCAATTTAGAAAAAGCAAACAAATGGTTCGCTGCTAATAATCTAAACCTAAATGAAGACAGGATCTTCTCCGTCTGTGACGAAAGGTAGAAATGCTAGAAATCTTAGACGAGATATTAAACTGGGTTCATCACAATCATCCGCTTGCTCTGGAATGACCAAATAAATCCCTTTTGCTACTTTGGACTGTTTTATTTACATCTTAGCTATATTATAAGATTATGTGGTAATTCTAGTACAACAAATGAAGTAGTAGTTTTTTAGCAAAAAGCCTACAACCAGCTTAGGATCTCGCGACTTTTGTAGAGCGGACTTCAAAAGCTTTGAAGTAATGCATGTTCCAACATTGTTCATACAGACTAATACAAACATCATTGACGAGGTAATGTGACAACTTTAATAGATATAGATAACTACATCACAATCTCTAACTTTCATAGTTACTAGACTACGACATCTTGTGACTTAAGGGCAGCCAAATTTTCACTCTCAAGATCGAAATAATTTCCCACGGCTAGATCTGTATAATCACGTACCATCAAGTATTCATCAGCTTAACACCAACCACCACCAACTAGCGTTCATTAAATCTGTGA